GCAGGGCCTCAGACGTCGGCTCTCCCCTGAGTCACAGACCGGGACTTCCGACCGGTGACCAGCCACCTCGTACTCTTGCCTCATCAACCCTTCGACCTACCTCCCAGTGCAGTCTTTTTGCCTCCAGTGAGTGCCGCAGTCGTCATTTTATGGACCTTCTGATTACTTAAATCCGGCTTTGGTTGGAGTCAGACTAGAGTGATGCAGGCTTGGAGACCGGGGAGTTGACATGCGAATTTTAGAGCTTCATGCACCGTCTGCAGCGAGACATGTAACACAAATTGGACGAAATTGCGTGTATACTCACAGATGCAAATCATGAAACCGCGCATCCGCCTAACATGGCGACATGCTGACATCTGATTGGGCCTGTATAAATTCAGTCGTCTGCTGTAAGGCGACGAGGTGTCAGATGTTTAGCCAATGTAGGTTGACCTTGATCAGGTCAAATGATCAACGTTACCCGTTCCGTGTAAGGCCAAAAGAATCCAAGCAACATTTTCCATCTTCTAGTCCTTTGGCAGTTTTCAGGGAACTTTATCTGAGTATGTGCTCTGTCCTGGCAAGTCTTTCAGGATCGATCATCTGGAAATCATGTTCGAAAAATGCATTCCTTCTAGGTATTTTATAGAAACTCAGACTTTCTTAAAATGTAATATTTATGCACTGGGATATTTCAGCTTTTTAAAATTTTTTTTAATGCCTGCGTCTACGTCTTCGCATTCGTATGCGTGATGTATTTTCTCAGAGACAAGTTGTCATAACCCCATATTCAACTGCCATACAATATTTCAGTAGGTATAGTTCGTAAGCAGTATTGGTAAACTGGAGGTTCATAAGCTACAGGAACGACCACTCAAGCGCCCTAAGTACTCCTGTAATGGCAACTTTTTTAAAATCCGAAATAATCCCATCATATTGGTACCAAATTTAAGTACGACGTAACTTTATACAAGACCGGCGAGAGGCTAATTTTTGCCCATACTCTATTGAGGATAAAACTATGAATACAGGCAAAAAGTAGCAAACAAAAGAAGTGATTCTGTCCAGTTTTGTTTACATGGGCAGGCAGAAAGATGCCGGATCAAATTCCAACATGTCTCCGCGTATGAATCGACCCGGACGACGCACCAGGCCAAACATTTTTGTGCTTTGGCCCTAGTAATCTGCCGCAGTTGAAAGCATCTCGGAGTCCTCATGTTCATATTCTGTGCTTTTCGGTGCACGCTGGGCATATTGTAGTCTAACCGCCATGTTGTAGTTTCTTTATAAATAATTCTGGAGGCCTTCCTAATGAATGCTGATCCTGATTGACCGGTTTGTCCTCTGCGTTAACATCTCCTTGAGAGTTATATGGCTGCCACCGTGCCTACTTTTCCGCGACACGTTTGCCGAAGGACAGGTTACGAAAGTTGTCAATGCGCAAGGCTGGAATTTCCTATCCTTTAAGCAGTGCCGATCGAGTGCCAGGCAGACAGTATGCAAATTCATTGAAGCTTGACAGAAGCTGATGATTCTTTTGCCTCAAAGCGACCGTCTCTTCGCCGCCTGCAGGCCACAATTTTTTCCGTCGAACAGGATGCTGCCCACTAATAGTCCGAGGGAGTGGGGGTGACGATCGGTGGTGGCTTACGTATCAATTTTATTATTGCCAGAGACACCTACGTTGCATCGACCTGGTTGTCTCTTTTGATGCCCTTCGTGCTTCACTGCTTAAAGCCCTAGTCCAAGAAGGACTGAAAATGAGCCTTGCAGCAGTGGTTGACCTGAAAACGCGCACGCGCCACTTGTTTCACCCAGGCACTAGGCGTCCTCCCAAGGCCAAACTAGGTCACACAGACAGATTCACCGGCTTTGGGTAGGTACACCAACTACCGCTCGTTTTGTTTTGGCCTCTAATCGAGGTGGTTATTAGGCTCTAGCCGCTGCTCCCAGTACATCGTCTCCTGGGGGTCGCAAGTATGAATTGCCCAAATGCGACTGAGCACCTCGCGCAATGAGGCATATGGTGCAGTCATCAAGTCTATCAAAGTGCCTGGTCCCCCCGCTCCAGCCCTGGTTACGCCCACCGACTAGGCGTGCTGCTGAGCAAGCACGGACTGGCAACAGAATCCACGTGCCTCCTCCACTACCTGATAATTACTCAGCCTAGCGTCGGATTTTTCTTCGGCTCTCTCTCTCTCTACACGACAGTTCGGCCATCGTGCCCGACGATGTGCTCCGCAGCAGAGTGGAAGCAGGGACGATGACTTCCGCGTGGATTAGTCTATAGTGAGAGCATACTTAATCAGCATCTGCCACACTCTTCTCCCTCACTCACCTAGACCCGGTTGAAAGACGGGACCAAAATGACCGGAGATGGGAACGAGGTCACAGATGGCTGACATTGGGAGACCCCGCACCTAGGCGTATCACCATACCCCCTTGGCCATAGCGGACACTGACCAGGATTTTATACATCAAGAAAAGTGGGGGGGGGTGGCACGGGTCACAGCTGGCGCGGCGTGAGCCTGCACATGGGCGTGCCACCACGCCCCAAATGTTGGCATTTGTTAGGAGGTACGAATTGCCAGTAACACCTGCAGGACCTCATTCTAACCCCCTCCCGTGTCGGTCTAGCCTGTCTGCCGCGTGGACCGTTTTAGGGGGCGAACACACACACACACATCTCTGGCCTCCTATCACCTTATTTTCGTGGTCGAAGAACCCCATAAGAGGCGACATAGAAGTCAGCTGAAGTTTTGACGCCAATATGGTTTATCAAAATATCGCCGTGCTTCGTGGGCCTCCAGTAATCAACCTTGGTCACCTAAAAGGGAGACGGGGTTTAACTCATCACGCCCTCTGCGCAATCGCTTGTTGTGCTTGCAGGGGCTCCTCTTTGAGGCCGTCTAGATCAGGCTGAATCACGCCTGTATGGTGCGCGGATAAGTAACATATATGAGTCAGTTTGGGCTCCGGATGACCGAGCGGTCTTCGCCCCATGATTGCATGTTCAGTCACTTATACCCTAGTACTTGTGCATACTAGCTTCGCACCCTAATGAATATGATGCTAACGCTGATGATCAACACTACCTATCCGTCATTTTACAGCCTAATTTTAGTCATGTACAATTTGCTGTCATTTCCTTCGGCTTCCCTTTCACCAACAGGGAAAATCTGTCCGCAAAGATCGGAGTTGAACACGGTTACAAGTACTCCCTACTGCAATTGGCTTTGCGCAAAATTCCCGTTTGGGTTGCTGTTATGGTTAGAGGGGTTAGAAGAGTAGAGAATCGGAACCCCCCCTGGAATATATTGCAAGGTCACACCTGTAGTGCAGGGAGGGGGTACTTATACCCGTGTCCAATCAATATCAGTTCTGTTGCATTCCTCCGGTACGAGCCAGTTTTTCCAAAATTGCGGTTTGAATGTTTGTCAGATGCACTCGTTCCTGTTTTTGTTTTATGTGTGTTGCTGTCTTTGAACTTCCAAAAGCAGAATAGCATTACCAACAAAGACAGGGGAGATTGGAATGGCTATTTCTGACTTACAAGCTGTCATTAGTCAACCATACTAAACCCCAGGCTCTGCAACCCCTGAGACCAAAACCCACGATCTGTTGGCTAGAAGTTCAACGTCCTAACCACTAGATGTTTATTGTGATCGTCGGGCCACACTTAGATCCAGCCTAGTAAACTGGCGTGTTCCTGATGCCACTGTGTGGAATACATTTTGATAACCTTGCCACTAGGCCCACCAGTCCAGAAGCCATAAGGGAGAGGTCCCTTTTATCCCTTATAACCGTTCCTTTTCACTTGGTTTATGACCACTACACAGACGCCGTGCCATGAGTGTTGGAACTTCGGCACTGATCTCTCGTTGTTACCCCACGCCTTCCTTCCCTTCATAGCTGACACGAGTTTCTCACATCTGCACGAGACCAGCCGCAGCCCGTCCGTCTTAACTAGTCCCACTTCTCGGGATCCGGATGTCTTTAAGTTGCCCTCTCCCAACGACAGATTGGACGAGGTCTTAGAACACTCCGATGAGGAGTCAAGCTCTTCCACAAGTGTCCTTATGCCACCCTCGCCGCCCGGTCTTGGGGTGACGATGGAGAGGAGCAATGAGACTGGGACTGAGTCTTCTGAAGAACCGGCTGGAACCTCAGTGTCTCGCGCAGATAAAGTGCGACCACACCCTGGACAGTTGTCGAAACCTCCGCTTCCAACCGGCGCATCTGGTCTGAATCGATCATCCCTACACCAATCCATCTTGCGCTACCCCGCCATGTTGGACGGTGGCAAGGCGGAGCGGCGGAGCGTGCGTCGACATGCCAGTATGCTTGCCAATTTCCCCTATGACATTAGCAGCCTGGATCACAAAGACATTGCCCAGCGCGGTATCCGGGTGCGTCAGCTTAGTCCTAAACGCGACGTGACCGCTCATTTTGGGGCTCCTGTCAAGGATCTGGGGTCCTCCACTTCAAGGTCAAATCCTTCCTCCGCGACTTCCTCGCCAACTAAAGAGGGTATGAGTGGAGTGGAGTTGGTCATGTCCAGTTTGATGCAGGCAACCCAAGTGGCGGCCCTCTCCGACCACCCGCTGGGCTTGGACGTCATCCATTTTTCCAAGGTTGCCATCGGCCCTCGAGACACCCTGCCCTGGAGTCCGGTGGAATTGGCCCAACGCATAGATATCTTCAATACCAATGAGTATGGTCTCATGGCGAAAATGGTAGGTTACTGCTCAGTCCTGATGTTGTATTCGCTTATACTGCTGTGCGGCATAATCAAGGTGTCTGTCTGTCGATGCGTCACGGTAGCCAGTTCGTTCAATTTTGAGCAGTCATCAAAGTACCTGTGACTTACTTTTGCTGTCCCAAGAACCCAGTGCGTTCACGTCAGCGGCCCCTTGTGGGTTCCTTGGACGCGTGTCATTTGCTGTTTTTGCGCAGAGTAACCTGGCTCCTTTTAGTTTTATCGCCCACAAGACCTGTTAAATTAAATTTAGTAGATTCCTTGCGCACGCGTGAACAGAGACTTCACGTCACTGCGTCAAATTTCTTTTTCCGATCTGCTAAAATTACAGTCGTCATTCCTGAGGAAGGCGCAAGAGTGAGGTCGATCAGGTTCGGGTTTGGTGTGTTTCTGAACTATCATGGCGCGTGAATATCCTTGTCTCGGAGGTTTTCAACTGACGGGAGAACTCGTCCCTCCTCCGAACTGGGAATCAGGTTATAATGACTGCTTAGGAGCCCAACACATCTGCAGTATGCGTAGATATGGTCACTGTTCCCTTACCCGTTGCATGCCGCATTAACTTAGTCTTACGGTGTTGATACATGAGTACATGTTGTGTGAGTCTTCCTTGTCAAAACTCACTTCTTACTCAAATTGCCTCTGAGCCCTCGAACTGTGGTTATCCTCCTCTGCTGAATTGCACTATTATTTAAAACCCACAGGTGTACATGCACCTAAACCAAGAAGTCGCTAGATGAGCGGACCACCGAGACCGATACTGTCCATTGTTAACTGGTCCAATGCAATCTAGAACAGTGACTTCTCAATTGGCTATTGTCATTTCGATGTGAACTGACGACTTACGCACTCAAAGGCACTACAGTTTGTCGAGCAAATTAAAAATCTGATCATTTGCGACACATGTATGGTAGCCGGGCACATGGGAGTATTATCTACAAATGTACCACTTGATAAAACGGTAGATCCAAATGTGACTAAACTCGAGTCGTCCGGCGGGGCCTCGTAGCTCAAGTGGTTAGAGCGTTGGCTGTACTAAAGCCTTCTCCATACTGCGTGGTTTCGAATCCCACCGAGGCGCCGAGTTTTTCACAGTTGGGTCAATAGGAAAACGGTAGATGTCATACGTGATCATGCTTCTGAGATTCTTTTGTTATTTGACCCGTTAAAACCAAGCAATCAAAGTGACCAATTCCTCTTTTAAAGGAGAGCTCTGCAGTTTGAAGTCCGCCTGGTCCAGTCCTTTCTGAAAATTGTATTTCAAACTCAGAGCTAGCAGTCGTCCAAATGGGACCGGACGGCACTACACAGAGGGCGTGCTAACGACATAATTGCGGTCGTTAAGAACGAAATAGCCATCAAGGGCCCACTTACAAAAGATATGCTATCTTTTTAAATGTTAACCGAAATTCTGAAATGTGTTTTCGATTAGGACAGGTTGCTTAAGTAGGGTTATAGTATCAATCATTTTTCATCATAATTCCAAGACATTCCAGCCGCGTCAGGCTACCAGCTTTTGGACGAACTTCTTTCCGCTGACTGCAAAAACTACACTTCTGAAAAGTGGCTTCCTAAGTAGTATAAATTTTCTCACTTGTTTTCAATGTCCCTACAAATTCCGATATATTTGGCAGAAAACAATATTCTTCGTTGTGCTCATTTGATAGAAAATTACCTCTTTAATTTTTATGTTCGAAGAGAAGATGTCTTTTGGTTTTTAAATAAGTTTCTCTTTATGAGATTTGTTAAGACCGTGAAATGTCCATTGACAAAGCATTGTGTTTGTACCTTTATTATTACTCTTTATAAAGTATACAGCATGTTCCACATTGGAAAATTTTGAGTCCGATATGACATCTTAACAGTGCATAGAAATGTATGATTTTTCATGTAAGTAAAGTATACAACTTGTACTTTGAAAACTCTGAATACACCTGTAACGGCACTTCGGGTTCCAAATTATTCGCGAAT